CTGTATATATAAGAACTTTTGTGATTCAGTTAAAGCGGCAATCATCAGTGAAGTCATCCTTACTTACATGACTAAACAAGAAGAAATTCAATGAACTGAGTATCCAGCTCCTAGTATTAGAAGCAGATCAATGCTATAAACAAATGAAACCCAAAAATGAGGAAATACTAAAGGAAAAGTTAGTAAATTAGAATATAGAATGTACAGAACTCAAATAAATCCAAAAGATGATTTTTTAAAAAGCAACAACACATCCACATACAACAAAATAAACTGTTTTAATACAGTCAAGAAAGGATGGGAACACAAAGAAAATAAGAAATCATCACCGATAAGCCAATTTAAGTAACCATATCAGAGGTCTTTGATCAACAAATACTTTAATTAATTTGAAAATTTGGTTGAGATAGATAATCTTCTAGGAAAATATAACTTACCAAAACTGACTTCAGAAGAGAGAGAGAAAAAAAATCTCAACTGACTAATTGTTAAGAAAGAACAACTTGTTTTTGTTTAAATTAATTTGTTAAATAGCTTCATTTTCCCACCACCTCCAAAAAAAGCCCATGGCTCAGTTGGTTTCACAGGGAGAGTTCTAACAAACCTTTAGAGAATAGCTAATTCTCATGGTATTTCAAATTGTTTCCCAAAACAGAAAAAGGAAGGAAGCTTCCACTTCTTTTAAATGTAGTAATGAAAACATGGATGCAGAAATCCAAAAAAGAAATAAAACTACAAACCAGTCAGATTTATAAATATAAGTAAGTCCCATCTATATAAAATATTATTCTAGAGAACCAGGAGGCATGTTAAAAACAACATATCATGACCAAGGGGAGTTTAATTTAAAAATACAAGCTTGCTTTTTAATTTGGAAATATATTACTGTAATTCACTATTTTAGTAAGACTTAAGAGAAATCACAATCATTATCAAACATGCTAAAATCAGTATATAGTAAAATTCAATATCCATTTTCAACAGATACTCTTAATAAACTAGAAAGATATGAAAACAAAATGGCCTCTTTGCTTTCACCTCTCTTTCAAATGTCACATTAGTGAGGCCTTTCAGGTCTTTTTAACATTTGAACTCTCACGTCATATCCCTCTTGCTTGCTTGCTGTTTCTCCATTGCACCAATCACCTTCAATCATTCTATATAATGTTCTTATTTATTGTTCATTGTCTGCTCCTATTGGAATATAAGCTTCATAAGTTTGATATTTTTGTTCATTTTGCTTTCTGTTGTGTTCACTGATGGCCTGGTGTAATAATAAACACTATATATCCATTGGGCAAATGAATGAATGGATATTTTTAATGCAATATTTTTAAGCATTAAATTTAATGATATTTTTAAGTGCCAAAAGTGTGCAAATTCTCTTTATACATAGTTATGAATGAATTTCTAAGATATATTTCTAAGTAAAGAATGTATGATAGAGTGTATAAAGCATGCTACTATTCTGTGTAGAAAAATGAGAAGGAGGAGTGGAGCAGAAATAGGAGCAGGGCAGTGACGAGGAGAAGAGGGAGGGAAAATAAACACCTATTTGCATAGGCATAAATTATTCCTGGAAGTCTATATAAGGAACTGAAAAAACTTGATGACTTTAGGTAGGAAAAGCAAGGGAGTGAGGAGCAGAGACAGGAGGGAGACTGTTTATAATACAACCCTTTGTTTCTCTTGAATGTTAAGTATGAGACTCTTTCAATGACGCCATCTTCCAAAAAAATAAATAAATAATTTACCTGACCAAACAAAACTTTACAGGGAGAAACAGCTTAATATCAGTTCAACTAACACACACACCATACAAAAATATATTAAAACAAGTAAAATAAGATCTTGTCTTTTCTAAATTCTGGAATAGCAGAAAATGATTCCAGAAGATATTTGTGTGTTATATAATTGAATATATATTTCAGCACTTTTTTTTCCAATTTTTTTATTGCATTTTAGGTTTTGGGGTACATGTGAAGAACATGCAAGATTGTTGCGTAGGTACACACATGGCAGGTGATGTGATGCCTTCCTCCCCATCACCTATATCTGACATTTCTCCTCATGCTATCTCTCCCCAAGTCCCCACCCCCTGCTGTCCCTCCCCTATTTCTCCCCTATAGACCCCAGTGTGTGATGCTCCCCTCCCTGTGTCCATGTGTTCTCATTGTTCAACACCCACCTATGAGTGAGAACATGCGGTGTTTTTCTGTTCTTGTGTCAGTTTGCTGAGAATGATAACTTTAGTGGATTAATGAGTTTAAAATCCCTGAAACAACACTTCAAATTAGCTTTAGTGGACTTATGAGTTTTAGGCTATTTTGGAGTTTTGTTTTGTTTCTCTGCTTAGTGTCCAGTCCCCTTCCATGGTATATCCTTGATTTTTACTTTGAGGGACCAGCCTTCCTGTCTTTTTCTTGCTGAGTGTGCGTGATGGAGAGCATGACACAAGCATAACCAATTAAATGAATTCCACCCCCATACCACAGTTACTGATTCAGATACAAACCAATCAATGAAAACAACATTTAAGCCCAGCACTTTTGGTTGATCTCTTGAAAATGACTCTCTTTTATACTGGTCAGATATTGTATGAAAGTCCGAAGTAGACAGGGGTGACTAGTGGAACTGAGAATATACTCAATCATTGAAAGCACAACTAAAAAAAGGATCTTTGTGACAACATTTAAGCCCGGAATCAAACCATACCTGAAGGTATACAATTCTACTCAGGGATTTTTTTTGGCTCATAGTAGCTAACAGCTTTTTTTCCTTATGCCATCTTGAGTAAGGTTATATGTTATACTACTTTTAACTGAAGAGCTGGAAGATGTAGTAGCCATTATTCTCCTGCCCTGTCAACCAACTGAGAAATTAGAAATCTTACCCAGTGTTACAAAGCTAGAATTGTTGAAACCAGGATTTGAATTTAGAATTCCGGTTAAATTCAAATTTGTATCTGGCTCCACAGCCCTCATTCTTCTGGGAACACCTTGAGAAAGAGAGAGAGCGAGAGAGAAAGAAAGAGAGAGAGAGAGAGAGAGAGAGAAAGAGAGAGAGAGAGAGAGAGAGCGAGAGAGAGAGAGCGAGAGAGAGCGAGCGCAAGAGAGAGCGAGAGAGCGTGAGCCTGTTTGCAGAAGCAATCGTATTATTGGACAACAACATCACAAATGAAAAGAGAGCAATAATTAAGAGGGAAAAATCACTGAATGGAGCTGATAAAATCCATAAGATAGGATAGTTACACAGTGTTAAACACCTAAGGGTTATTTCATATGCCCAGCAGTACTCTAACTGCTGAATGTATTTAAACAATCTTTTAGAATCGTTGAAGCCATCTTTTGTGGCTTCTCATACAGAATGTGCCAAAGACTTTTGTGTATGAGTAAAAGGGTGAGATTCATTGACGTTTTCTTCATGCTTTCCCCAAGTCCCTGAAGAATAGCAACATAAGAGATAAGCTAATGAAATATTTAATAATTTAAGTTATGACTTATTCTTTACAGCCAGTATGTCTTTTGACATTTTCTAAAAAGAAAAAGAAGTGAACAAAAAACTTGCCCCAGGATTCCAAACTGCAGGTGGCATCAAAGGTACTAAAACCAAGAGAAAGTTCCATTCATCAGCTTCCTGCTGGCCAAAAATTTCTTCTGATAAGAGCCTGTGGAAGATCACTGTAAGACACGGTCATCCACTTTTTCATACTGTTTTCCCGGGTGGCCAAAGAATTGATTTTCTGAAACATATTCTTAGAATTTTGTACACTAATAAGTGCTAGACAAACAAAAGGTATAATACTATAATTGCTCTCATTATACGAACAATGCAATTTAGAGGAATGAGTCTCAAGTAGGAGTGATTTTCCCCTCCAACAGACACCTGGCAATGTCTGGGGACACTTTTGGTTGTCACAGTTGCAGGGTGGGGGACTGTGTAGATACTGGCATCTGGTAGATAGAGACCAAGGATGCTGTTGTGGGAGGGTGCCCTAGAACTGTTGAAACCAGGATTTGAATTTAAGATTATTAGACTCCAAAATCATCATTCTTTCTATAATAATTTGATACCATTGAGATGTCATTGATAGCAGGACAGAGAGAGAGAGGGAACATATTGTTGGACAACAATATCACATATGAGAAAAGACCAGTAACTAAAGGGGCAAAAACCCCTAAACAAAGCTGAAATGCACAAGACAACCTCCCACATCCAAGAATTTCTGGCACAAAATGCTAATAATGACAAGGTTGAAAATCCCTTGTTTAGAGGAAGTGCAGCATTTTTTTTGTGTTGCCATGATGTCATTTTGTGTATGTGTGTGTGTGTGTGTAGGTGTGTGTGTTTGTGTGTGTGTGTAGGGGAAGGAGGATTTGTAGATTTAGTATAACTCCTCAGACACCTACTAAGAATTCAAGTTTTTAAAGCTAAACTCATCAGCCTAACTGAGGTCAGCATTTTGCCAATCAAGTCATTGTCACCCTATCACAATTTCAGGATATGCTTACAAAAGGAAAACCAGATGTTTATGCAGAAAAGATGATTTCAGTAGCATATATAAGATTAGCTTCAAGTCCGAGTCATTAAGATATCTCCAGGTGGTCTTTTTGGTTGCTGCAGTTTGGGGCAACCTCTTTTCATCATTTTGGAAGTATTGTCACATCTCTGGGATATGGTTTTGTCCTATCCCCAATTTCAGCACCTGTTTATCTGACAAGAATGAAAATGACTCTCTTTAAGCCTACATTACTATGCACTAATTTCTTAAGACTGTCTTTCTTTCTCATACATTATGTCTCCACTCATCACCATTAATAGGTAAGAAATCTTCCAAACCACCTGTGGCCATGCTGCAACACATCTTGAGAGGCTCTTAGAGAATGTATTTTAAATAAACTCATTAGAAATGCATATAATCAAAAAACATGCTTAAAGGAAACAGAAATCCTAAATAAATAATGGGTCTACTAGCAAAACTTTCCCCCTTTCTCACAAACCTGAAAGTTTCTTCCTATGCAGTTGGAGGGTGGCGGTGAGAAAATGTCCCATAGTTGCTGTCCATCACGGAGACTCCACTGAAGGAAAAGATCATTCCGAAAATAAATTATGAATATTCATTACTTTCTAGTCAAGTCTGAATATTACAGCTTACTGAGATAGTTTAGTGATAAATGTGATTCAGACTTACTGTTTTAAAAAATTAACAATTCAGAAGAAAACGGAGTAAAAAAAGAAACAAAAAGAAAAAAGAACTTGCTTTACCTAGCTCCTGTAGTTTCTGCCTTCATTAAAAGAAATCAAGTTAATAGTTTATTGTGAATCCTCCCATATCCATCTCCATTTCATAGTCTTTCATTCAGCAAATGTTTAGGGAGTACCTACTATGTATGTGGGTTCTGGGTTTATAATAGTGGACAGATCAGACATGATTCCTGCCTTTAGGTACCTTATATTTTAGTGAAGAAAGGAAATAGAGAAAAATAATTTCAGATTAACATACGAATAAAACCATTTTGAATCATGAACAGCCCAAGGAAGGAAATAAACCCAACACTGAAACAGAGAATATTGTGTGGGGCTCCCACACTGGCTAAAGGGCTCTGAAAGTGCTCTAGAGAAGCCAAACCCTCAAGGATAAGAAAAGGCAAGTGTAGAAGGGAGAGAAAAGTTCTGTAATCCTTTTTTTTCACTTAATGTATAATAGATGTCTTTCTGTTAATTCCTAAAGGTCTATTATTTCTTTTAATTAATAATCACTGAAAGCCCTGTCTACGGGTCAGTCCTGTGCCCTGAAGATAAAACTGTGAGCAATATCTTTGCCTTCACTGAACTTACAGTCTAATGGTAGAGTTTAGATACATCAGATTAACATTAATGAATGCACAATATTCCATATGATAATGCAGTAAATATTTTCGTAGTCATGCACCTAGGGATGGGTGTTTTGGTTGTTCCCAGTTTTTCACTCTTAAGTATTTTTCAATGCTTCTGAGGACATCTTTGTTCATATATGACTGCACATTTTTGTAGACACTTCTTAACAATGTGTTTACTATGTGACAGCACAATTGTTAATGTGTCATTCATAGAATTCTCACATTCTTATTTTAAGGTGTGTAAAGTTTTCATCCCACTTTATAAATATGGAGTCAATAACACAGATTTGTTGAGAAACTTATTCAAGGCTGTAAGATAGTAAGTGACAGAAGATAAGTATCTGAATATAAAAATAAATACTTTAGTATCTGCTATACTTCCTCCCAAGGGCTAGAGTCCTAGATTTTGTTTTCTGGCTACAAAAAATAATATGTGCTTACTATTTTGCATTTAATAAATACAAATATAAGCATTTTTTAAATTTGCCTTTTTTTTTTTTTTTAGACATAGGGTCTTACTTTGTGGCCCAGGCTGGGATGTAGTGGGGCCATCATAGCTTACTACAACCTCTAGCTCCTGGGCTCAAGCCATCCTCCCACCTCAGCCTCTCAAGTAGTTATGACTACAGGCACGCATCACTATGCTGGGGTTAATTTTAAAATTATTTTGTAGAGACAGGGTCTTGCCATCTTACCCAGACTGGTCTTGAACTCCTAGGCTTAAGTGATTGTCTGCTTTGGCCTCCCAAATTGCTGGGATTAAGGCATGAGCTACTGTGCCTGGCCAAACTTGACTTCTTTCACAGTAATATGCAATAAAAACATCTTTTGTCATTAAAGCCGTTCAGAAAGAAAAAATAGCTAAAAGCAAAGTCATGTTCATAAAAGAGCCTGATTAGTGCATTCAACAAAAAGAATGTCCTAAAAAGTATTCTTGTTTTCCGTATCTTGACCACTCCCTGGACAGAAACTGGTAGACCAGTTGTATATGGAACTCCACAAGCTCCCTACAATGAATGAGTACTTAGGGTTTGGGGATTTCTGTCCTCTCTACAAATGGTTTTCCAGCTGTACCATTTGGAGACTGTAAGCTTGTTGCACATTCCCCAGGAAGCACCACAAGCAAAAACAATGATCCCCAAATCCTTCCAGAATGTAGATCAGTGTCCCAAGTCCTCAGAATCCAGGGCATGACCTGGAAGTTCTAGTGCACTGGTAGCAGCACAGAATAAGAGGTAAAGGACCTCTGGAATCAGACAGCTCTGGAGTCAGATAGACTACATTCAAAGGTGTATGACTTTGGACAAATGCATTTTGGTTTTCTCAAATGTGAAAAGGGGATAATATTAGAGCTTATCCAAAGTTGTTAGCAGTAATTCTAAGTAGTTATTATTTAATATATTTTTTTCCTTTCTTGAGACAGAATCTCACTCTGTCATCCAGGCTGGAGTGCAGTGTGGTGCAATTTCAGCTCACTGCAACATCCTCCTCCCAGGCTCAAGTGATTCTCATGCCTCAGCCTCCCAAGTAGCTGTAACTACAGGTGTGTGTCACCATATCTGGCTAATTTTTGTATTTTTAGTAGAGGCAGGGTTTTACCATGTTGCCCAGGCTTGTCTTGAACTCCTGACCTGACCTCAAGTGATCCACCTGCCTCAGCCTTCCAAAGTGCTGGGATTATAAGCATCAGCCACCATACCTGGCCATTATTTAATATCTTTAAAGCACTTAAGACAGCACTGCCAGAGTAAGCACTTAATAAATGTTAATTATTGTGTTATAAAGTTACTTTCAAGTTTCTCTAAGATTTCTTTCTTAGTTTCAAGATAAATAATGGAAGATACTACCAGCAGATAAACATAAATGAACAAAAGAGAAAACCTCAAAGAGCCAGTTACCAATGGCTTTTTACATTAGACAACAAATTAGAATTAGAGTGATATTTTTCTTTTTCCTTTTGATTTCCTGTGTTTTCTAAATTGTCTTTACCGAATGTGTTATTTTTTAAATGTCAGGAAAAAGTACATTAATTTATTTCTAAACAGTTTTTACCAGTTCAACTAGATGACAAAAAATTGAATGTTCAAGCCCAGATTCTGGAAATAAATATTAGAAATGTATTCCTGGTGACTTATTCTTAAGTTACTTCACTTTTCTTGACTTTTAGCTATTGCCATTGTGATTGTGAACATCATCATCATCCTTAACACCAAATGCTTTTACTCTTGGTGATACCTCAGATAAGCAAGGCAATTCTAATGTCAACTACACGTGTTTATACTCAATTTCCTCATCTACCACATGGGGTTACTAATATCTGTTCCACCAATACCAACACTCTGTAAAACAATAAATTAATACAAAATATTACAATGCAGTAATGAGATTAACATGAAGACATATATTAGGAAAACATGTAATTATGACTTTCATTATTACATTTTAAATTATTTTACTCTGACAAAGTAAAAAAGAATTCCTACCCCACCTGAGAAATAAGAAAATGAAGGCACAGAGCATTTGCAATAGTTTATCAACTTACGCATTGCACAGTGGTCCAGACTAACCTAAAATTCAGTGTCTTGATGCCCAATCAGTGCTCAGCAGTCTCTTAGTACATTTATCTGCCTTATTCCAAATGGATCCTGCTCCAGCAACTGAGAGCTCTATACCTCTGCTGGTTGCAGTCATAGTCCACAGCAAGTCTTGGAACCCTGAGGAATTTTTAGAACCCTTTACACATGAAGTAAAGTCTTAATTACCTTTTCAGTTCAACCATGCCAAAAGACAAACTGAAAAGGTTTAGAGAACGTGGTGAGAAGCAAGGCATTGCCTATAACTGTTCATTGTTTCCCTGGTAACTATACCCCTCAATGTTCTTTGAAATATCAAGGTGCTAACTGTTAAAGAGAGAGACTTCTAATATAGGTTCAAAAGTAAAATAGGATATAAAACTGAGGATAGAAAAATAAATAGGTTGATAGATGGACAGTCATAGACATAGTGAAATCTCAACTTCAACTTCTTCCTCCAACTCCATCCAACCCTGAGGGTTTAATTACCAGAGCAGAGGTTGTTAGAAGCAGCCAGGCTACAATTTGAATGGTTTGCTGCTTAGAAATTTCTTTTGCTGGATATCCTAAGCCATCACTCTTAAGTTTAAACTTTCACAGATCCCTAGAACATGGACGCACCATTGAACCCATTGTTAAACCTATGGTGTAATCCACCTCCCTGCCTGCTTGTCAGATAAACCCAGGCTTGAGAAATTCAATCTATGCTGTGATTCCAACCAGAGGTACTGGTTCAAATGAAGCATAGGAGACAGTTTTCTGGAAGGTTCTAGGGACAAAGGTGATCTATCTTTCTGAGAGGGCCAAGGTTTTCTCTTTCGATCAGATATGATACATAAATATAAAGCCTAATACTGCCAACGCATCCTGCCACCATGTGAGAAGTCAGTCTTAGGAAGAAGCTAGCAGTATAGAAAGATGGAAAAGAAAGAAAGACCTTTATGACATGAATGAACAGCTGAATCAAACTAACCCTGAAATTGACTGACACACTCTTAGATTTTCCAATCACAGAAGCCAACAGATCTTCATCATTTAAACCAGTTTACATTTTCTGTTTCTTGGAGTCAGACACTTGGGTATATAACATCTATGTGACTATACAGTGAGAAGTCCCACTTCATTAATACCCTCAATTTGTAAGCCATTGCTCCATTAAGAGTAACTTCCCAATTGAATTATTTCTGCAAGATTTTCTTTTGACAAAATAAATAGGGACTGGATGAAATAATCTCTATAACAACCTCCCAGATCTAAAAACGTAGGCTTCTTTGAAAATTCAAACTATAATTACAGGAGATTTTTGAATTTTAGATACTGCAAACTTAAGCTTCAGGTGTTTTGTGAAGCTATTTGCTTTATGACCAACTCCCTCAATTTAGAGAAAATTCTGCCAGTTGTGATTTTAAGCATATTTGTAGCCTTCAAAAGTGGAGAAAATAAACTTTAATTCTAGCAAGAGGGATGCGAAATGTAGACAAAGCTCATTAGCCTTGTCAGACATTTGATAAATAATTATAAACTGCAACTGTGGTAAGATGTGTGCATAAAGCCAAACTTTGATCTCTTTGGAAAACAAATGTTCCTGAAACAATTTAAAACTTTAATCACACTTAATGTGTCTCC